GAGACGAAGCCGCGGTCGCACGCCGCGCCGCGCAGCAGAAGCCGAACCAAACAGCGCCTTAGTATCAACAACAATCTTAAGGGATAATTTCATTTCCAATTTTATTAATTTTACAACAGTATCTTTCAAACTTTTATCTATATTATACCTACACCATTTCTAGTGTGGCTCCTACCTGAATACTAAAGTATAAAAGCTAAACTATAAATCTTCTTAGCCTTTTTCTCCAACTCATTTAGTTGCTTGAATATATAAGATATTTATCTTCTTATGAATTATCATATCAACTAATTTCATTATTCTATCTGTAAGAGTACTGATGTTCCAAGATCTTATCATAATATTAGTTTCATAAACCAACTTATTTACTTGCATTCATCTGTAATATGAAAACTTTTATTTGACCTAATCCCAAGTGTTGGTATAGCGATACTTGCAGACTTTTCATTGTATTAAGGTTATACAACGCGTCACTTTCAGGAGAGACCCTAGCATTTACATAAGACTTAAGAACTTCATGCCATAATTTTTTCAACAAATTTACGTTAGTTGTCAATTATCTAACGCAACTCTCTACTTTTTGCATCATGAAAGAAAAACAAAAAATAATATATACCTTTAGTTATATATAATAAATTAATAAAAATATTCAAATCATTTTATAGAAAAATAGGCTTTAAACTTGAGGTTATTACATGCAGGTGGCATTAGCTTCAATAGTTAAATTCTATCCATCAGGAAACTTGAGCCTTTTTGAGAACTTTCTAAGAAAATTATTGTTGACTCAATCAAAGCTTTCTTTCTTCTAAGTTGAAGACACTTATGGGTTCTTCCTTTATGAGGCTAGTTACATTTAATTCCTCAAATGTGTCACCGAACTCATCACGTTAGAAAGAACATTATGGTAGCCCAATAAGATAGAATGGGCACATTAATTAAGGAGCAATTCCAAAAAACATAAACACCATTTCAAAAATAGTTATTCACCAATAAGATTATCATGCACTCGCTTTTGAATATAATTGAATGAATAATACATTTGATTTTCTATGGTACTACATAGATGAAGATTAATTGCCCAATCTCCTCTTTTGATCGATTCCTTGTTCTCTTCTCCCCTCTACCTCTCTCCATTTTTAGCATAAACCCCAGAACTAGCCTCAAACATTATCACCTCCCCAACCCTCATAACATCACACATTAATCCCTCAACTTCCCACAAGCCATTAGCCTCCTCCCTGCAAGCCAGACACCTTTTGGTTTGCCTTGACCTACCCTAAGCCTACCTTAAACCCTACTAAAGCATCTATGCTACTCACAACCCTAACACTCTGAAGACCTTTTCATACCTCTAAGACATAGCCTCACAAACAATTACATTAGCCCTCCTCCACCTCAACAAATAATTCCTCTCCATAATCCACCTCTCAATCAATCCAAGAAAAACCCATAGGTCTAACCTATTCCTCTCCCAAACTTTCAAGAACATCACCAATATCTACCACCCATCTCATCAAGAAAAGAATTCCTTATCCTTCAGCATCTTTCCACTACAAACACACAACTTCATCGAAAATCATTGGTCTTTGTTAAAGAAGAATGAACATGTCTTTGCATTTATCTCCAAATAAGGGCCTAATCAATCAACATGAATTTCACTAAGAGATTTGGATTTAAGCTATAAATGATATGTCAACAAACAATAAATTTATGACTTTGGAGGCAAAGTAGTAGAGATATTTGACAATTAATCTAGCTCCCATTGGCCCAATTGTAGGCATTTTTGTGTTTGCATTATTATCCTATATGTGGTTAAGGAAATAGTACAATGCATGATAAAAAAAATACAATGACAAACACAAGAAAAAGATGAAAATACAAAATATTGAGACGCCCAGCTCACATTTCAAAAAACGTCTTCCTGTAGTTGCACTAAGGGTCCGTTTAGTTCGGCGCTAGGAACACGCTGCGGGGGCTGGCCGCAAATCGTGCCCGTTTGAGACGGCTTCCCGAGCATTGCGGGATGCCGTTTTGGCTAAATGCAGGCCGCGGATTGAGCCCTACGGCCCACGTTTAAGTGATGGCTTATTATCCGGGTTACCCCTTCGTCACTCCTGCCCCAATTATCTTTCCCTCTGTTCGACGCCGAATCCCTCGCGCTCCTCTATTGTTCGACGAAGCCATCCCTCACTGTCGCTTCTCTGCCGTTAGGCGAAGCCGTCGCTCGTCGCTCCTACCTCTCGGATTCCGTCCCAAACCACCAGGTATCCTCTCCTCTCCCCAATCTCGTGATTGACATGTTGGTTTTTTCTAGCTGCCTCTGCTAGGACAAATGGATGTGGTCATTCTTAAGTTGGTCGTGGTGACGGTGTGTTGTGAGTGGTTCTTTTTTTGTCTGTAGTCAAGGAATTGGTAGTTCGAGCGCTTTTTCTTCAACATATGTGAATGTTTGTTCGTTAGATTTGTGATGTTTAGATTTTTAAATGTTGTTCGGTGATATGGTATGGATGTGAAAGCTAGAATTCTTGGAGGCTCGATTTTGGGTTTGGTAAGTTATATGAAAAAAGAATTTATTTTGGCCTTTATTGCTTGAGGATGACGACAATCTTATGTTAGATATTTTTTAGTGAAGGTTTATATTAGTTGTGGCATGGTCCTTGATTTGAATACACATCATTTTGGTGGTCTGCATGAGGATCTAACAAAAAAAATGAAAAAAAAAATTATTGTAGTTGTGGCTTGGGCATTGTTATTTGTTCTTTGGAGTTCTTGGTGGTTGTGGCTTGGGCAAAAGTTTTATTATTGTTGTTCCTCTTTCAACTTTATCTAATTGGGCAAAAGTATTTAAAAACCATAATTTCATACTTTTTTCCTTTTTTTAATACACTTGGAACTCACTGTTATGTGAAGTGTGTATCTTATTTTTTTACTATTCTGAAGTTGTTTTTGTTTCTCAAGTATTAAATATATTGCTATGACAGTTCTATTATAAACAATATTACTGCACATGGGCAGAATGATCATTTTATCTAGAAACAGCTGTCACGCAGTTATTTGTTTTCATAAGGTAAAAAATAAACAAGCAGTCAATTTTCCCGCATCAGCCAACTAGCAGCTGCTGCAAACCAGCTTATTGGATAAGCTGCAGCCCTAAACAAACCCTAAGAGAGAAATGAAGAGAGAAAGCTTGAGAACCTCATCATTATTGTTTTATGCCAAACCCTTTATGCCACATACATCAACTCATTAATACTATTTTTAGGCCACAAATTGGGTAACATAGTTTTTTTCTTAAGAGAATAAATAGACTTTAAGAAGAATTCAAGTGGCATACATATAACTGTACTAAAAGTCTAACTTTGGCTTACGGGAAGTTTTGTATGTGCATCTTAAATTATTGCATAGTTTTGATAGTACTATTTATACGAAACAAAAGGAATGAGAACAAACAATATTAGCAAGCCAATTTTTCTTTTGAAAGTTAACACAAATTATTTCTACTACCAGTCTTAATCATGGCTTCCTATGGCATTCATAAAATTCCTATGTGACAGGTTTTTTCTTCTGATATACAACCATCACATTGATTTTTAAGATGAATATTAATATTTTGTTATAAATTTTTTTCTTCCAAAATGCCTAAATTTCAAAATAAATATAAGGATGGATAACAATTGCTATGGTTCCTTAGAAAAGTTATGAACATTTCTTCACAAAAATGGTTGCCTAATGATCAACAATGTGCGAGACTTAAGATGTTGGCTACAGGATATTATTCCTAGTCAAGAGAGAAAATGTTGAAGAATAAAGAATTGAATTCAACTTATTTTAAAAAGAAACAAAGAAAAAAATTACACAAACACTACATGAAATTCAACTAAATTTCTAGTTCTAGGCTGTAAAACCAAAAATAAGTTGGAACAATATCAACTAACAAAGCATCTCTATTCACAATAAAAAGATGGAATGCCCCAAAAGTATATTGACCAAATCTACGAAATATAGAATCATCATTTAAAATATCAATTAATGGTGAATTCAATAAATAATTATGAAAAATGAGTTATTTGTAAAATGGTACCAATTTTTCAGGAATTCAAACGTCATCTGCTCTGTAAATAAGGAATGATCTGTTGTTTGTATAGCTGGAAGTAAATGCCAACCCGCTGTGGTAGGTGGAGAGAATGCGCACTCTTCCTAAAAAAATACAAATTTTGAAAACAATTAGAGAAAGTAACTTGCTTATCAGCTACAGAAACAGTCAAGTACATAAATAAAAAGGGCCATAAAAGCCACACAATTCTTATATATTTACATATCTAACACCCAAACTTTAATTTTTACATGTGTATTACTCAAATCTTAATTATCACTCTATCACCTTCTTTACAAAAGTGAAATGCACCTTTTCATGCATAGGCTAAACAGATAAAAGTGTTATAAATGAAAAAGTGGCAATTACATCAATCCACCCAAGTCCTATGTTTTTACATATTTAACACAAAAAATTCAATTTTTACATTAAAACCACCCAAATCATTCATATCACATAAAAATACCCCCATTTTAACATTTAAAAAGTGAAAAACACCTTGTCATGAATAGGTAAGGTGGCATGTATATAAAATTGAAGTTTAGGTGTTAGATATGTAAATACATAGGAATTGGGCGGTATGTATGTAAGCCTTCCTGAATGTAAATATGAAAGTTTAGATATTAGTTATGTACATATATAAGAATTATGTGGTATGTATGTAAATTTCCCATGATAAAATCATAATTACTTTGCTCAGTTTCATAATTCAGGTTGACTTTACCTAGCAGCATCCAATAACTGAGTGGCAATTTTCTTTCTTCTGCTGGATGGAACCACTCAAATGGTCATAATGCCACACTTGGCTTGAACAGCTTTCTCCTCACAGATTATAACAACTTTATATAAATACTTCAGAGATTCAAAACACAACTTTAGTTCGTTTCTTAAACTAAGTGCAACTAGAAGATGTAAAATCAAAATAACATAGTATTATATAAACAAACTGAAGAAATAAAACATAAGAACTTTCAATATTTTAAAACATATTTACATTCATAGAGTAAGAAGAGTTTATTTAGTCGAAGTGGCAGACACACATAATGAGATTACTAAAGAAGAGGTAACCAGAAAAAGAAGAAGAAAAAAAGAAGAAGAAAGATCGGCTTCTTTCGCTCTGGCCCTCAGAAGAGAAGAGAGAGCAATATATAGGCAGGAGAGGAAAAAATTTTCATCATTGCTGACACATTAGGTAAGTGGGGATATAATTGATGTTTTGTTGGTGGAGAATCTTTTAGTGAAGGATATAATTGATTTACGTGACGATTCTTTATTGATTTTCAGGCTGATTGATAATAATTCGATAAGTTGGCATGTGTACGTCAGATTACTTTCTTTACAGCTGCTTCCACTATTTTTCTGGTTGATAATAATGCGATGAGTTCGCATGTGTACATCATAATCCTTTCTTAACAGCTGACTTCCACTATTTTTTACTTCGAGTTTATCTTATATTTCTTGTATAGTATTCTTCTTCTAGCAGTACGTATATTTGTGTATTTTCTATTTATGTAATTTCTGACAAAATATTTCTTTAATCTTTTGCTGGCAGCTATGTTGTTCTTGCTTAGAATAGAGATCCAATTTTTATACATTATTTCAAGTATTTTGCTTATCAGTTGTTTGCAATGACTATATATGAATAACTGTTCGGAGCAGTAATATACTCAAATATTTGATGAATCAATTTTTTTTATTTCTTTCCATATTTGATATAAGTTTCAGCATTAGATCTCTAATGCAGTAATTATGTATGTTTCAAGTATTTTGCTTATCAGTTGTTTGCAATGACTATATTATGTAGTTTCAGCATTAGATCTCTAATGGAGAAATAACTCCTTTTATCTCGGAATAAATTTGGTATAATTTGATGTATCAATTCCAATGTTTGGCAACATGGTGGAAGATATTCACTGCTTCAAATATTGATTTTGGTAATTCTCTTAGAAGACTTTCACCATCTAAATATATCATGCAGATTAGACCACATTTGTACAATTCTGAAACAAGATTTAAATCAGCATTTCAATAAATATAAACAACTTCATACTTTACTGCTATATGGAAACAAATCTAGGGGTTAATTTTTTCCTCATAAAGTTATAGTTGCTGTCATTCTTCAGTTATTTCTCTGATATTCTTCGTAGATGTATCTTGTAGTATTTTAGCATATGTTGACATTCTTTTTGAGAATGATGGTTCTTCTTTTGCAGTAAAATTTTGTAATTCAATAACTGAAGAAGCTTTTTTTATTCTTCTCTTGTAATTTTGAGATTTGCAAAATCTCTAATTTTTCTTAGTTCAGATATCGAGGGTAGTTCATCTTTTGTTATTTCTACGGTGAGATAATTTTTTACTTTAAATAATTCTTTTATAATGGTATTTTCAAAGACAATCTCGCATTATAATTTCCAGATTTGTAAGTCAACAATTTCTATGTAGTTATTTATGTCTGGATTGGGTTTGATATATCATAAACTTCCATACTTTTAATATCCATATTTATTTCCCGCATAATTCTCGTGTTAGAATATCAGCTAGAACATTCTTATTTCCTTCTATATATTCTAAATCAAAAGTATAAGCAGAGAATCAGCTTTGTCATTTAATTAGTCCTTTATTAGGTAACGAATCTACGATTTTTCTTTTAATGAATGAAATAGTTGATTGATTGTTAGTTTTAATTACAAAAGTTTCATTTAAGAATATTTCAGATTTTTTAATAGCTTTTATTATGGCTAATAATTTCTTTTCATTAATACAATAGTTTAAGAATATTTCATTTAAAAATATTTCATTAATATGATAGTTCTAATAATTCATTTTCATTATGTCTGGATTGGGCTTATCTTCAGCTTCGTCGGATATATCATAAGTTTTCATACTTTAAATATTCATATTTATTTCCTGCATAATTTCCGTGTTAGAATATCAGCTTAAACATTTTTATTTCCTTCTACATATTCTAAATCAAAAGTATAAGCAGAGAACCAGCTTTGTCATCTAAGTAGTCTTTTATTAGGTAACGAATTTGCGATTTTTTCTTCAATGAATGCATAGTTGTTTTATTGTCAGCTCTAATTAAAAATGTTTCATTTAAGAATATTTCATAGCTTTCTTTATGGCTAATAATTCCTAACTGATGACAAAAATTTAAATCGTATATTAGTAGAAATGAATTTTCTCCAACAACATACTATAATATTTACACATAAAACTGTCAATATAGATAATTATACCTTACCACGGAATGTGGTTTCATAGTAATATTACTATCAAATTATATGTCCATACATACGAACTTATTCCAATACATGTTTTATGTGATACAGGTAGCGATATCATCGTATGTAAAAAATTTATGAATCCACCACAAATATCAATTCATTCCGAAGAATTATTACTCGAAACATTTAATGGTATTTTTACCATAAATGAATATTGGACTGACGAATTCCTTATAATTCAATCTGGCTTTCTTAAAATACATAAATTATGGTATAGCTCCGACAATGGCCCTGATTTAATCCTTGAAAATAATTTCTTTAAGACTTTCTAATCATTTATTCAATCCGAGAACAAAATTACTTTGATCACCCCCAATAATTATCCACTTAAAAGCTGTATATTTAAAACTCCACAGATTCATTACAACACACCAATTTTTGCAGCCAACATGGTGATTATACTCTTAACCAAAACATAAAAGTTGTTTTCCCCCATCTATTCAATCTACACTTAAGCATATATAATGCACTTTCTCCTTAAAATTCTAAACTTACTAAACTTCGATCTTTCGCATCTTCTCTATTTAAAAGCTCATTTTCCGAAAATCCCCTACAATTTTGGACTCAAGATGAGTCATTTGCTATTATATATCTAATTAATCCTTCAATTATTATAACGGTTCGTCATATGAAATATACTTCTGAAGATAAAAAAAAATTTCAAGACCAAATACAAGAATTATTAAATCTTAAACTAATCGAAGTTAATAATAGTCCACACAATAGTACAGCATTCCTAGTTAAAAATTATGCTGAACAAATTAGAGAAAATAGTGAGATTAGTAATTAATTATAAGAAATTTAATGAACATGAAATAGCCTTAAGCAAAAGGAAAGCCGTCTTCTTAAACAACACTATTGAATTTCTAGGACTTATCATAGATAAGGGTGCAATTGAACTACAAGAACATGTTTTAAGAAAAATTGATCATTTTAAACAAATAAATAATCAAAAAAATTTCGATGTATCAATTATGCTCAAGCATTTATTAAAAATCTCACAGAATTAAGAGCTCCGTTACAAAAAAAATTACGAAAAAATATTGTTTGAATTTGAGATGAAAATAATCAAAAGATTTTATAAATAATTAAGGATGTATATAAAAATCTTTCTAAACTACATTTACCAATCCCTGATAATTATTTAGTTATAGAAACTGACAACTCTCAATTAACATATAGGCAATTTTAAAAGCTGGATGTAATAATACTAAACTTTTATGCAGGTATAGTTCAGATACATATATGAACACCGAACAAAACTATCATATTAATGAAAATGAATTATTAATCATAAAGAAAGCTATTAAAAAATTTGAAATATTCTTAAATTTGAAATATTCTCTTAAATGAAACATTTTTAATTAGAACTGACAATAAAACAACTATTTCATTCATTAAAAAAAAAAGTAGATTCGTTACCTAATAAAAGACTAATTAGATGGCAAAGTTGGTTCTCTGCTTATACTTTTTATTTAATATATATAGAAGGAAATAAAAATATTCTAGCTGATATTCTAATAGGAGAATTATGCAAAAAATAAATATGGATATTGAAAGTATGAAAACTTATGATATATCTAGCGAAGCTGAAGATAAGTCTAATCCAATCATAAATAACTACTTAGAAATTGTTGACTTACAAATCTGAAAATTAGAATGCAAGAATATCTTTGGCAATACCATTCTAAGAGAATTATAAATTATATCACCAGAGAAATGACAGAAGGTGAACTACCCTCAATATCTGAACTAAGAGAAAATAGAGATTTTGCAAATCTCAAAATTATAAGAGAAAAATCAAAAGAAAAAACTTATTCAGTTACTGAATTACAAAATTTTACCACAAAATAAGAATCACCTTCCTCAGAAAGAATGCCCACATATGTTAAAATAATACAAGATATATATACAAAGAAAATCAGAGAAATTGCTGAAGAATGGCAACAACTATCACTCTGTGAGGAAAAAATTAACCCCCAGATTTATTTTCTTACAGCAGGAAAGTATCAAGTCGTTTATATTTATGGAAATACAGATTTAAATCTTGTTTCAGAATTATACAAATGTGGTTTATTCCGCATGATATATTTAGAAGATGAAAATCTTCACAGAGAATTACCAGGACCAATATTTAAAGCAATGGATATCTTCCACCATGTTGTCAAACATTGGAATTTATACGTCAAGTTATACCAAACTTATCCCGAGATAAAGGAGTTATTTTTCTTATACAGCTTAGAAATTAGAAATACTTATTTAGAATTTGTATTGTTATTATTCTCTTTTCTAAAAAATTCTTTTATAAGGATTAAAGTGTTTTTTTATATATTTTCTTAAAGAATTTCTTAATTCTTACTTTTTTTAGTATTTCTTTTAAAGGGCATAATATTCCATTAATAGTGCTCTTGTGGTATGCAAATAAACGTCCTCAAAGAACTAAGGTAAACCATGTAAGATCTGTAGCAGTTATTAATGAAAATGATTTAGAACCATCTTCAATCTTTCTGATATGGATAGTAATGAAGAACT